TGTTGTGTGTGTGTGTGTGTGTGTGTGTGTGTGTGTGTGTGTGTGTGTGTGTGTTTGCGTGTTTGTGTGTTGTGTGTGTTGTGTGTGTTGTGTGTGTGTTTGTGTTGTTGTGTGTGTGTGTTTGTGTGTTTGTGTGTTTGTGTGTTGTGTGTGTTCTGTGAGTGTTGTGTGTGCTGTGTGTGTGTTGTGTGCGTGTGTGTTGTGTGTGTGTTGTGTGTGCGTTGTGAGTGTTGTGTGTGTGTTGTATGTGTTGTGTGTGTTGTGTGTGTTGTGTGTTGTATGTGTTGTGTGTTTTGTGTGTTGTGTGTGTTGTGTGTGTGTGTGTTTGTGTGTTTGTGTTGTGTGTGTTTGTGTTGTGTGTGTGTGTGTTGTGTGTTACAAAAAACGCGATTCTAAAAGCTTAGAGATCTCCAGTGAATACTAGAAAGGACTGCCCTTCTAGCATCCAGCCTGTTACTGGGTTTTCGTAACAAGTAGTCAGTATCCTTGTCCAATTATCCATTATAAATCAGTATTATTCAATAGTGCTTCAGGATTACAACTGGTAGGCTACTAACTAGAGAAATTAAAATTTAATAAATTTATTAAGTCTAGAGGTATATTATCAAAGTAAATTAAATCACAGCAATCAAAATAAAATCAATCTCTCGAGTTCAATATTATTGTGCTGAAAGTACATATCACATTCATAATTCTTAAGTACCGTCAGGTACATTAACATTTAATAAGATATTACAAATATGTACAAGTAAGTGTGTATGTGTGTAAGTGCTCTAAGTAGTTCGCTATGTCTCACGACTCGACTAGACTTAAACAAGTGACTGACAAAGTCCTCAAATAAACTAACTTCTTGACCGACTGGCAACCCGAACAGTCTGCTTGAACAACAAAGAATGCTAAGCCCCATAGCAATGCAATATCAAGCGACTGCGACACAGAATCAGGAACTGGGAAATAATATAACGACACTAAGTAGGGACCATCAGCAGATCCTCCACAAAAGCTACAAAACTCCCATACTACTGAATCTATGTTCAGCATAGGAAAAACGCGACTGTGACAATACACAGAAACCAGTACAAAATTAGGTCAGACGCTATAGCTAAGGACCTGAGATGTTCAGAGTGTCTAAGCGACACACAACCTCAGTACAACGTCGAAAATCACTAAGTCTATACAATGTTCTGAGAACAGAGTTCTACAGAACTAACAAGAATAATCAGACAGACAATCTGTCCAACCACCAAGCGAGTCTAGAGCAGACTGAATACTTCACGAGAGGTGAGGACACCCCCCCTCGATCACGTGATAGCCCCGTGGACAGCACAGCTCAGAAGCCGGCAGTATAACGAGCGACAAGCGATAATTACAGTAGTTTGACAATCAAGACTTGAACTGAGCACATATTATGTACATCCTAACAACATAAGCTACGTCAAATAACAATATAAGGCAATACATTTGCGATTTAGCTATTATCGCAAATATAAGCAATATAAAATTATATGAAAAGGTAATATACATTATATATATACATAATAATCATTGTAACCCATTCAGGGGTTGCAACATTGTGTGTGTTGTGTGTGTATTGTGTGTTGTGTGTGTGTTGTGTGTGTGTTGTGTGTGTTGTGTGTGTGTGTGTGTGTGTGTGTGTGTGTGTGTGTGTGTGTGTGTGTGTGTGTGTGTGTGTGTGTGTGTGTGTGTGTGTTTGCGTGTTTGTGTGTTTGTGTTTGTGTGTGTTGTGTGTGTTGTGTGTGTGTTGTGTGTGTTGTGTGTGTTGTGTGTGTGTTGTGTGTTTGTGTTTGTGTGTTGTGTGTGTTCTGTGTGAGTGTTGTGTGTGTTGTGTGTGTGCGCGCGCTAAGTGCACATGGGTCCAGTTTGCGTGATAGCCGTGATTACCTCAGGGTCCAGTACTGGCTCAAACATTCCCTCACCTGTCCTAAGTCTTGAATTGTGTGTCTAACAGTCACCTCACACACCTCACGCAGTCTTGTTTCTGATCCTACAATACTCTCATCAGTACCCTAAATAAGCCTGGACACAACGTATAGAGGGCTGGGCTGGGCGGATGGGATACACTACTATCTTGTTAACTTAAAACCACTCTCCCCCCCCCCCACCTGCACTGATATAATGATGAGGCGAGGGTGTGGCACACACACACACACACACATCCGACAGTCTGATGTGAATAAGCTTTGTCATCTATTTTATCGTTATTGTACACTACTACTACTACTACTATCACTACTACTGCTACTAGTAGTAGTATTGCCACCACTCCTACTGCAACCAATAATAATAATAATAATAATAACAATGGCTGCTATTTTCGCTGCCGTGATAACATACTCGTGTGGATCTCATTTGAGGGGAAATTATTCTATAATCCACGATTATTCTATACACAATTATTGGATAATTATATGTAATTAGTGTCAAGGTCATGATTCCTCCCCAGCTGGTTGTGTTGCCTTGTCATGTACAGTGAATAGTGGTTGAAGGGGAGGGAGGGTGGTAGAGGGGTGATGGTGGTAATCAGGGAGGGGAAGGATGGTGAATGGGGTAGTGGAATAGCCAATATAATCCCCCACCACCTCCCTTCCCCTCAACTACCATCCCCACCACCCACAACATCCTCCCACCCCCACCACCCCAACACAATTAGTCAAATTTTGTGGTGCCCGCCACCCTGGACACCACAAGTGTCCGCTAAAATTATTTCCCCTAACACAAGAATAATGAGTGATGGGCGGGGCCAACTATTATGTCGCTATGGCAACGGTCACGTGACCTTCGCCTTGGGTCATGATTGGTTGGCAAGGGATCCTTCTCTTACACTTGTTACGTGGGGTTTTCTACGTTAACACGCAAGGAAGGCGGGGCCAGATACTTCACTACTTCATTAGTCACTGAAGTTCGCTGTCGTGACGATAAGAATTTTGACTAGTGTAGAGGGGGGAGGGGGGGAGGGGAGGCGGAATTACCAACAGGTTCAAGAGTATATTACAGAGGTGTGAATATTTGCTTGTGGTGGGCAAAACGTTTTTTCGACACAGCGAGGCAGGGTGACCTAAAAAGAAAAACGAAATCTTTTTAAATTTAGTAATTTATATAGAAGGGGTTACTAGCCCCTTGCTCCCGGTATTTTAGTCGCCTCTTACGATTCTGACCTCCAGTCAGGATATATACACCTCTCCTATGTCCTAGTTGTATATATCCTGCCCAGGACGTATACGACTCATTATATATTATAAAACTTTACTTTGATCCCTATTAAGGGGATTAAAGTATTCTTGTGATGAATGGTTTGAAAAACCGACAAGTTGAAGATTGAGACACTTATGCAGCATATGGGAATCTTTATTCAGGAAACGTTTCGCCACACAGTGGCTTCATCAGTCCAATACAAAGAGGAAGGCGTAAGGAGAGGAGGAGTATGAGGTAATCAGTCCCTCAGCATGGAGTCGATGTGTTCAGTCCATCAATCTTGTAGAATGTACAGCATAGGGCCGTAGACGTGGCTTATATACTGTAGTGAGGTGAGGTGAAGCAGGCGGAGGCGGGGTCATACTCCTCTCCTTACGCCTTCCTCTTTGTATTGGACTGATGAAGCCACTGTGTGGCGAAACGTTTCCTGAATAAAGATTCCCATATGCTGCATAAGTGTCTCAATCTTCAACTTGTCGGTTTTTCAAAACATTCATCACAACTGTCAGACACTGCAGCATCATGGGATCTTGTTACAAAGAATTCTTCAACACTTGTTCAACCTTTGGACGAAGACCTACTTCGACTAGTGGATGGTACCACTATGACCCCGCCTCCGCCTGCTTCACCTCACCTCACTACAGTATATAAGCCACGTCTACGGCCCTATGCTGTACATTCTACAAGATTGATGGACTGAACACATCGACTCCAGGCTGAGGGACTGATTACCTCATACTCCTCCTCTCCTTACGCCTTCCTCTTTGTATTGGACTGATGAAGCCACTGTGTGGCGAAACGTTTCCTGAATAAAGATTCCCATATGCTGCATAAGTGTCTCAATCTTCAAAGTATTCTTGTACATAAATGGTGAAGAATACCGACAAGATGAAGAATTAGACACATGTGCAACATCTGGGTATCTGCATATAAAGAATCCCAGATGTTGCACTTGTGTCTAATTCTAAAGAATTCTTCACTGGTAGTGTACAGGTTACAGGCAGTCTTAATAACTCTCGTGTAGTCGATAAACTTGAAACCTAATTAACCAAACGGGTCCCCTAGCGATCTTCAAGAAGGAACTCGATAAGTTCCTCAAATTAGTTCCTGATCAGCCAGGCTGTGGTGCATATGTTGGACTCGGTGCGGCCAGTACCAACATCCTGGTTAATCAGGATTTTGGTACTGGCCATCAACCAAGAGGCCTGGTCTGAGACCGGGCCGTGGGGGCGTTGAACCCTGGACTCGTCTTCAGGTAACCTTCAGGTGTTGCGGGAGTATTGGAAGCGGTAATGAAGGCAGAGTGGGAGGGGAATGGGAGGGGGGAAGTGGAGAAACAAGTGGATGGTGAAGAAGGGGATGAAGACTAGGAGGAAGGAAAGAGCAGGGAGAGAGGGAAGAAGAGAAAGAGAAGAAAGCAGAGAGACGGGGGGATTTAAGGGCTGCGGTTGGAGGGAAGCAGTCGAGATAGAAAAGATAAAAGATATATATATATATATATATATATATATATATAGAGAGAGAGAGAGAGAGAGAGAGAGAGAGAGAGAGAGAGAGAGAGAGAGAGAGAGAGAGAGAGAGAGAGAGAGAGAGAGAGAGAGAGAGAGAGAGAGAGAGGTCAAAAGCGAGCTAAAAGATGGAAGGACTGGAAGAAGGGGAATGGATGGACAGGTGGAGGGAGGGAGGGAGGGAGGGAGGGAGGGAGGGAGGGAGGGAGGGAGGGAGGCAGGAAGGAAGAGGTGTCGTTCTCAGTGGAGGATGGAGGAGGGTCAGTCGTGGGTGTACAGTGGTGGTGCCAGCTCCTGTACCACACCCCAACACACTCCCTCGCTCACCACCTAAACAAATTGCACCACAAACTTAAAAAGAATAATCACAAAAGTGACCAACAAAACAATTTACCAAGTGGTAAATACAGTTATAAACGTTTCTGCTACTGTGACAATAATGAGGTACTAATTTATTTAATAATGAAGTCGAGCAAGAATCCTTCATTCAACAGATGAATCTGAAACAAGCATGTTGACTTGAAAATTTTGGTGGTCATTACACAGACGTTCTTGACTGGTGTTTGAGGGAGTGTAATAAGATACAAGGATACAGTAGGTCAGAATGTACGTGAATATTAACTCACGTGTGTTCGAAAGGTGGTTAAGTAAGTTTATTTAGGCACAGATACACATATGTACAACTATCATATACAGAAAATTACACAGGATAACCCCAAAAAAAGGTCAAGAGTGACTTTGTTGAGTTCACTGGTGGTTCTGTGTACTCGAGGAGTGAGCTCGTTGCTGTGATCATGACTTGCCTCATTCTCACTCTCACTCTCATCACTACATATCTCATCCAAGCTCAAGGTAACTTAATATCTCCTGTATTTTCTTGAAAATATTTTTTTTTTCCAAGTCTTCACCTTTGCTCTTTCTACTGTGTTATTCTACAGCCATCGCTTCAACTTTGTCTATGTATCCGTCTTCTGATTCCAGGCTGTCGACCTCTGCTTCTAAGAGTTTGGCTTTTCTAAATCAGTGGCTTCTATCTCTGAAGCTTCGGCTTGTACATTCTAAGTCTTTGATTTCTAGTTAGCAGCCTTCAGTTTCTACAACCCAAGCCATCTACCTCGCTTCCTTTCCTATTTACTATATCATGTACCTTTTCTAAATCCGTAAGTGCAACAAACAGATCCTCTCCCATATCTAAGTGCATAATACATAAACGACGTGTCGTTGGGTTTTGGACAAAAACATATTAATGCAAGAATTTATGTGGACATTTCACTCAGTAGAGCAACTTGAAAATGTTCTAGAGCGAAATGTTGTGCAAATAAAGGTTGTTCTGCACATTTATCCATTAATCATCGTCCTCCTTCCTTTGCAGTCAAACTTTCTGTCTTTGGCAAAACTTGATAACACTAACCAACAAAATTTAACTTTTTATTCAATTCAGAGACCAAATAGGTTGTTTTAAGCTATATTTGATGCACTGGTCACGTCTATTTAAGGTTGAAAAATCACATGACATGTACAGGTATTATATTACGCACAGATATTAACTATAACAAACGCAGTGACAAAAAAAAAAAAACTAGACTTAACGTAAATTCATTACAACAGAAATTTCCATACAGTCATATATATTTAAACACAATTTTCAGGGTTTTTTTTCCGCTGGTGTTTAGTACGGCTCTCCCGCAGCAGTGACCACCAGTAGTCTATCATCAAACTGATCGTCAGGTTTCTCCTGATACCTCCACCATGACGACTATGTTTTGGTGAAATCGTACATTGTTGGGTTATATTTCTCGGAAATTGTACTTGTTGGAACAAAACTAAGTTCTGATTTGTTCAGTGTCCCAAAGTTAGTTAGAAACGGATGCTTTTTAAACGTGAACTGAAAACTTTGTTTCTGAGTGTAATTATTCTGCCGTACACTTTAAGCAGTATACTTATGCAGATAAATGGTTCAGAGAACCGATAAGCTCATAAATTAGAAACATGTGCAACACTTGGGTATCGTATTATTTTCAAGACTGATGAACTGATTTACACTGACTCAAGGATGAGGGACTAATTACCTCAAATTTTCTGATCTTCACCATTCTTCTTTGTATTGGACTGAAGTTACTGTGTGGCGAAACGTTTCCACCACAAAGATACCCAAGTGATGTACATATGCTTAATTTATCAAGTAGTATACTCAACAGCCTCTCTCGTAGCATCGTCTCTGAGAGTCCTTAAGATTTCTCAATTTTATGCATATATTAAACAAATAAACCAACCATTCTAATAATATATTTCCATCTGTTTTCAGCACCTAACTCTGTCCTTCATACATCCCGCTCCAGTTCACTTTTCTCGTACATTTTATTAACCACCCCCTTCCATAATTAAGTTGCCTTGATTTTTATACTTATTGAAATTATTCTCCTTGTATTCTACCTCCCTCTTACTTTTATTGTAGCTACCAATAAATAATGTTCTCATATATCAGTTCCTTCTCTAAAAAAATCAGGCCTTTATCCATAGTTTATTATCATTATTATTATTATTTTATTGACAGCAGCAGGAAAAGTAGCAGTAAAACTCGTAAGTGTAGTGGTATGAGTAGTATTAATAGGTCTCCACAATTCAGACTAATTCTATCTTATCATTGAAGGGTAAAAGGAAGGGAGGAAGGGGGGTGAATAACTGTGAAAGAAAGGGAAGCAAGTGTAGACAATACAGAAGAACATGTGAAGCAACAGGAAGGAAAGGGTACGACAAAAGGGCTCTACGTGTGTCGTGTCAATCACTTCTACGTGACTGCCGTCAACTTGGTCTACATCCCCCTCCAACATTTTCCTTGACCCCGTTAAGGCTACCAACATTAAATTCATTTAGCGATCAGGGCTACCAACATGAAGTGCATTGCGGGAACATGGCTGCCAACATGGGCAGTTCTACGGTACTACTGCAGCCAACATGAGGTGCATTAGCATTAAAGAATTAAAGCTGCCAACATCAGTTCTACGGCACTACAACTACCAACACGAGCCATATTTTGGGTTAGGGCTTCGAAAGGGACCAAATATTAGGGAATAAAGCTGACATGATCTTCATATTATGGACACAGGCTACCAATACCAGCAATCATACTAAGGGTCAGAACTGCCATCATTAACTAAACTAAGGGCCAGGCCTGCCATCATTAACTAAACTAAGGGCCAGGCCTGCCATCATTAACTAAACTAAGGGCCAGGCCTGCCATCACAACTCACAATAAAGGCCAGGCTTGACCTCAGGAGACAAACTAAGGGCCAGAACTACCCTCAGGAACAAGACTAAGGGCCAGAACTGCCATGAATCATGAATCAAACTCAGGACCAAGATCACCACCATGAATCATGCTTGGAGCCATGACTGCCAACAGGAACCATACCATGGATCAGAATTACCAAAATGAATAATAAGGACCAGGAGAACCAGCATGGATCACGTTGAAGATCAAGATTACCAACAAGAGTCCTATTACAGTCAGTACTACGTACTTGTGCTGTACTACGAGTCAAGTAGCTGTAGGGGCGACTTTCTGTAAAGTAAAACTTATCTTCAATTCACTAAGTTACTTTACGGGGCTCCAGTGTCAGTTTATTAAAGCTTCCTTTAAATTTATAAATGTTATTTTCTTTAACTTAAACTAAGCTACAAAAACCTCTAAAATGTATGTATAACTAAAAATAAGCAAATAAGACAAGATTGTAGCTTCTGGATAGATGGTTAATGGGGTTCAACCCCTATAAGTACAATTTTATACAATTTTGGACGATTATAATTATCTTAAACAGTAACATGTGTAAATTGCCCACCATTAAACCTCTGTGTAACCTTTCCACTACGAGACAAGAACATTTTAATCCTTTAAATAGGGATTAAAGCAAATTCTCAGTATATATATATGCTCAGAGAAATACACCTTTTGATATATATATATATATATATATATATATATATATATATATATATATATATATATATATATATATATATATATATACATATATATATATATATATATATATATATATATATATATATATATATATATATATATATATATATATATATATATTTAGTGACACATATAGCAACGCGGTGACAGAGCACGACCAGGAAACGTTCAAATCCTCACGATATCCTCGTAATGCTAGAAGAAAAGGTTACCAACTTTAGAGTCAGTATCAATAGTACCAATATATAAGTGGAAGAAGGGGTGCCAACATGAGTTGGAACAGGGGTGCCAACCTGTGGGGCTGGAGCTGGGGTGCCAACCTGTGGGGGCTCGGGCAGGGGTGCCAACCTGTGGGGGCTGGAGCAGGGGCGACAGCTTGTGAGACTGGAGCTGGAGTGCCAACCTGTGGGGCTGGAGCAGGGGTGCCAACCTGTGAGGCTGCAGTAGGGTGCCAGTCTGTGGGGCTGAAGCAGGGGTGCCAACCTGAGGAGCTTGAGCAGGGGTGCCAACTTGACAGGCTGGAGAAGGGGTGCCAGCCTGAGGGTCTGGAGCAGGGGTGACAGCCTGAGAGGGGTGCAGTAGGGGTGCCAACCTGAGAGGCTGGGGCTGGAGCAGTTTTTTTTTTTTTGGTTAATTGGGTTTAAAGCATGTTATAACATGCAGTCTGGTGAACAGGTAATTACCTGTTCACCAAACAAGAATACTTCAATCACTATTACAGGGATTGAAATAAACCCTCATCATTTATACACTGAGACATACACCTCTATGTAGGCTCAAGCAGGTGTGCTCCCTAGAGAGGTGGGGGCCACACCTAACATAATCCGCAGTAATAACCCAAGCACTACTCAGGCAGTCTGACAGCTACCACGCACTATAATTCCTAGGATTCTGCTGCTAAAACTACGCCTGTGTTCATTTGTCAAAAACACCTCAGTCATTTTTGTATATTAAATTGTAATTATCTGTATCCGCGCCGAAATATTATAGCTTCGGCGTAAATTAGGCCACGTTTGGAGCTTAATAAGAGAGGAACTTTTAGCTAGGAAAATTTAAATTAACAGAAATGGGGTTGCAGGAATTGATCATGTTCCACGCCCACACTACCTGAGTGATCATGTTCCACGCCCACACTACCTGGTTGATCATGTTCCACGCCCACACTACCTGGCTGATCATGTTCCACGCCCACACTGCCTGTCTGGTCATTTTCCACGCCCACACTACCTGTCTGGTCATTTTCCACGCCCACACTGCCTGTCTGATCATTTCCCACGCCCACACTGCCTATCTGGTCATTTCCCACGCCCACACTGCCTGTCTGGTCATTTTCCACGCTCACACTGCCTGTCTGGTCATTTTCCACGCCCACACTGCCTGGCTGGTCATGTTCCACGCCCATAAGCCTGACATCTATAGTGGGCAAGTTATTAGAATCAATTATAGCTGACATTATCAGAAGTCACCTTGAAGAGCATAACTTGATAAATGAATCTCAGCGTGGATTCACGAGAGGTCGTTCCTGCCTGACAAACTTACTGACGTTCTTCAATAGAACATTTGAGGCAGTTGACAGTGATAAGGAATATGATATTGTTTATTTGGATTTTAGTAAAGCCTTCGACAGAGTACCTCACAAGAGACTCTTAAGAAAAGTGGCAGCTCATGGTATAGGAGATAAAGTTCTAGCATGGATTGAGGCATGGCTTACCAATAGAAAGCAGAGAGTTACCATTAATGGAGTGAAATCTGAATGGGGATTAGTCACTAGTGGCGTTCCACAAGGATCAGTTTTAGGCCCTCTCTTGTTCATAATTTACATTAATGACCTTGATGAAGGGATTACGAGTGACATGAGTAAGTTTGCTAC